TCGAAATGACAAGATGTTCGTGTTTCCCTTCTTCTAACGGTCGTTAAGAGTCCAGTTATTGATTTTTTTTTTACGGAATCAAACAAAAACATCTCTAACTTACACAAATGTATGTAAGAGCACCTGTAAGTCATCATTTGTCTTAATTCATAGTGTTAGAAAGATTAATGAGGCAGTAAAATATTTATCTTTTTTTGAAAAATCGAAAGCATGTAGGTAAAATAAGAAAAATCTGCAAAAGACACGTAATGAACAAATAGAGCCGGTGATTTTAGACATGATCATCACTTGTTTTTTATTTATCACATCATTATTACAACAAAATCACATCATAAGAAGCCTTCGATTTATCAAAGTATTATTACATTATTATCATAGCAAAATCACATCATTATTACAACATTATTGACAATTGAGGCAACAACATAAAAACATTTCAATGATACTCACAACATTAAAGAGATAAAAACAAATTTACGATAACAGAAAATTGTTGATAGAAACTAATTTTATTTTTATGTATTCTAAGTTTAATCATAGGTTACAAAATTTGAAGTTCTAGAATTGTTCTTGCATTTTCGTAAGACAAGAGTGTTCTCGTTTTACAAATCCAACCATTAGTTTAAACCAATTAATTTAGTTATTTATAAAAACCATGAGAGTTTATTTATTATGAATTTGAATATTTAATGTTTTATGTTATAAAACAATCGACATATTCATTTGACTAAATAAACAGTTAAAATTGATTTATACTAATAACTGAGTTTGTATATAAAACAACATATGTGTATGTGTAGTACTAAAATATCATAAAAAGGAAAAATTAAATAGACAAAAAGGTAAAAAAAGAGTAAACAACAATTTTGATGAATGTGATTTTTTGATTGGGTGAAGAATAAAACAGTGTAAAGGGATGAAAATGACATTCATTTAATAAGAGATTTTAACGACGGTTAAAAGGAATGATTAAATCACAATTACAAAACTACAGGGATGAAAGGTGTGAATTTTAACAAACCAGGGGGCAAATTGAGGTTTACTGTAAAATATTATAGTATGTCAACATGACTTTTTTATAAAGCCAAAACTCAATTTTTTTATAAAATCATTCTCATATAAAAAAACATTTATATAAATCCTATTTTATATGTACTATTTTTTTAGGTTTTATTTTTGATTTTTCAATAAATACAAATATTAAAAATCAATAATGGTTACAACAAGTTTCAAGTTTTATAATCTCTATTTTAATTTCCGTAAAACAATGACGACGGGTTGGTTTACGGGATTTAAAAAGATTTGGTGAAATTTGAAATTAGAGTTTATTTTAATTTTTAGTTTATGAAAGAAAGTTCAGAAATAAATTCCCATTTTTATGACATTTAAAAATCACAATGTGGTAATCGATATTTCACTGATTTATAAATAATGAAAATTAATTTTATTCTAAATCCTACAAAACAAAAACACCAATATTACATATCATTTCAATTTCTTGCATAAAATTCAAATATTTTAAAAACATTATTTCGTTTAAATCAATGTTTTTTAAAACTTATACTTGGACAAAGTTGATTACCGACAACCTCAACCAATCTCGTACAAAATCTGCATCGAAAGACATCAATATCTTATAATGGGACAAAATAATCCCGTCTTTTTGCTAACTAATCTCTACTCGAGAGTATTTTGAAAACTCATATTATTCTTTCCATTACAAATGAGTTTTGGAACCTACTAACTTATTGCGATTTTAAAAAACTCTAGATTAGCTTAAATATAATTTTTTTTAAATTAACCCATTCTCTTAAAAAAAATGGAAGTTTATTCTCATATATATATATATATATATATATATATATATATTCAATTTTTAATCGAGTATACACTATTTACTATATTATATGTAAACGTTTTTAAGTTGTTAAGGTGATGATAATATATAAAGAAAAGGCTTGACGAAAAACCTTAACACAATGAAATGATGAAGAGGGAAATTGATTATTTTGATGTAAATCCTTTATGAAGAGTTATGTATAAAACAAATAATAGGATGTGAGCAATGACTCAATAAAATTATAATGCAGAAACATACACACATTAGGTTCGATTACATGTATTATACGGGATAATTTGAAAAAATTAAATTATGTCAGGAACTTATCTTACAGATATGAATGATCATCGAAATTACGATACTACTTCAGACTTATACTTTTGAAATAACTCTAAAATATAACTCTGAAAAATGACTCTTTAAATTGAATTTAGAAATGAAACTATATCAATAATTAGTTAAAATGAAGTTAACCCTAGAATAAAATTAAATTTAGAAATAAAACTATATCAGTAAATTGAATTTAAATTTACAAGTAAATTTAGAATGATTCTTCAGACTTGTACTCTTGAAATAACTTTAAAGAATAACTCTTCACACTTGAATTTAGAAATGAAACTATATCAATAATTAGTTAAAATGAAGTTAACCCTAGAAAAAAAGTAATTTAGAATGAAACTATTTCGGTAAATTGAATTTAAACTTAGAATAGCGCATGTGTCAAATCTGAAGACGCAGTCTGAAGACCTTGAGTTCATAGTTATTCAAATACCTAATACCTTTGAAAAAAAAACCTCATGGTAAATTTTGCATCATACAGAGCAAGACCAACCAGAACTCCTCTGGTCCTTAAGGACCAAAGCCCTTATGGACTCACCAACCAAAATCAAGGTCAACCAAAGGTCCTCTGGTCAACCATAGCCTCTGGTTCGTCTATCCAGAGCCTCTGGGTAAAAAAAATGTTAAATACTTAAAGAATTTGAGTTCCAATTATAACCAGAGACCTTCTAGTTAAACATGAAGATCAACCAGAGCTCCTCTGGTTCCATTATGATGGATTAAAATATTTTTCCAAGGTTTACAAAAACAACCAGAAGCCAAACCAACCAGAGGGGTTGTGAGTTACAAGACTAAGTCTAAGTCTTAAAGACTTATCTTCAAAGTCTAGATAAGTTTATTACATGACTTATACTCTTCAAATTACTCTGAAGTAATCTTCAGACTTCAGAGCTCTGTATAGGTAAGTCAGAAGCTCTGCATGCACTATGCAGAGACTCTGTATGGTGCTCCGTTTGGAAAAGAAGACTACAGAGTTCAGGTGAGCTAACTCTGAAAAATGACTCTTCAGACTTGTACTCTTGAAATAACTTTAAAGTATAAAAACAATCTCATTAAATTAGAGTTCAGACTTCTAAGTCTAAAAAAAGACTTAAGACTTCGGAGTTCGGGTGAGTTAAGTCTGAAAAAGAAGACTTCAGAAGTTAGGTGAGCTAACTCTGAATAATGACTCTTCAGACTTATACTCTTCAGAATTGTAGAAGACTTTAGAGTTCAGACTTCTAAGTCTGAAAAAAAAAAGACTTCAAAGTTCAGACTTCTAAGTCTGAAAAAAAGACTTTAGAATTTTTTTCTAAGTCTAAAAAAAAAGACTTTAGAGTTCAGACTTCTAAGTCTGAAAAAGAAGATTTCAGAGTTCAGACTCCAGAGTTCGGGTGAGCTATGTCTGAAAAAGCAAACTTCAAAGTTCGAGTGAGTTAACTCTGAATAATGATTTCAGACTTGTTCTCTTGAAATAACCTTTAAGTACAACTTTTCAGTAAATTGAATTTAGAATAAAGTTGAATTGAGAAATGAAACTATATAAGTAAATTGAATTTAAACTTAGAAGTAAACACCACTTTTTCGGGAATCAGTTACCACACGAATTAATTAATCAAAGAATAAAACCAATTGCATCCTAAATTAGTGGGATTGAATAAGATGACACATGTCAATCAAATGAATATAATTAAACTGTTAATGTAAATTGTGTCTAGATACATTCAAATGAGTCTAATTGAACCACTAATATAAATTATGTCTAGATACATGTTTAGGCTGAAAAAATAAGAAACCGACTCACCAGAAGATAACACGTATTACCCATGTTACTTATTTATTATATGTATGTATGTGTGTATATATATATATATATATATATTCAATTATTATATATATATATATATATATATATATATATTCAATTATTGTTGCTAACGATTTTTGTATTATTGTGATCATCAAAAACATATATATTGCGTCATTGACTTTAATATATCTGTTTAAATGCTTTACAAAAAAATTCTAACTGTTTTACGTTTCATAAAAAATATAAATGTTTATTGTTTACTTCATTTGTTAAAAAAATACATGATTTTATTTTTATTTTTATTTTTATTTTTATGATGTCTAAGCTAATAATATAACAGCAAGGAATCGTTTAAGGAAAACTAAATATCATAAGAATCATCTTCAGAAAAATGTATTTCAAGATATTAATCCTTTTTCTAAATCTTTCATAATATTTAATCTTATTATTTGAATCTCCTGTAAATACATAATTTATCTTGTTAGAACGTATTCTACTAGTTATGTCAGTTTGTTTAAATAGATGTTACACGCTATATTTTAAATTGTTCTCTTAACTTTTATCGTGATACTTTCGATAATGAACAAATATAAGATTCAAACTCAAAACGGTTTTTGAACAGATACATTGTCTGCATGTAATATAATCATTTAAACAAATCCAACTAACCACTAATATATACATATATATGTTTGACCATTCCACTTGGAAAAGCATGACAAAAAATATCAGTGCTTAGTTAGATTCTAGCGAGAACGAGAGTTATGGAAAAAAATATAAGAAAAAGATTTGTACTGTTAGATCAATCTTAATATTCTAATTGAATATCAACACTAATGAGATGCAAATTTGTACTGTTAGATCAATCTTAATATTCTAATTGAATATCAACACTAATGAGGTGCATCGAGATGCACGAACTCAATTCTCCTTCTAAAACGAAATTTATGAATGGACATAAAATTAAAAATGATCGAAAAGGATTCAAATCTTTTCCAAGATGCTTCAAAACAAGATTTGATATTTAAAAACAACAAAATAGAAAGCCTTTGTGTTTTGTCATTTCTTCATTGTCATGTCTATTCATAGCCTGATCTGATCATGATGATGATGTATACATACATACATACATAACATAATAATAACAACATTCACTAGTTTATGGTATAAATCAAACCATTTCTTTTCTACTGTTCTTTTGATTTTGACACTAAAACTCATCTACCACATCCCCCCTCCAACACCCATGTGCTATTACAAATTTGCCCCTTCCTTCCTCACTTCTTTCAGTGGCTGTACAGTACATCAAATGGACAAATGCTCTTTCTTTTTCTAACACAAACACACTACACAACAAAGGCTAGTATTGTAATTTTCCAGCCCCTGGGGTCACTCTGCTACATACATTTGACTTTTTGTTCTTTGACTTCATTCTATGACAACAAGCTTGCTTTAATGGTATCTTAAATCTTTAATGGCACAATGAGGAGGTCAGGGGGAAGCAGGATCCTGATACTCTTTGCTGCATTTTCTTTTTACCTATATAGTTTTGTATGGTAGTAAGTAGTATTCATGGCGGTGGCTGGCGGCGGACGGTGGCGGTTATTGGTGGTGGTGATGATTTTACTAAACATCTCATCTGGGTATGCTTTCTTGTTACATATATTCAACTTCTTCCTGTAAAAAAGAGAAGAAAACTATGAAAAAACACGAAAAAAACGGATCGAAATGGAAGGAAATACGAATTCGGATGATCTTACCTACACTAAGGAAGCTAAAAAAGACGGAATTAAAGGCTACATTCCGATGGCACCGTGACCCGAAGAAAACCTGTATCAACACCACAATCAGTTAACCAAGCAACTATTAATTAGGTCGTGTCTGACAGCCATAAGCCAGCTTTTTGAAAACCACTCCAGATATTGTTTCAATGAACCTATCAGTTAATTTGCCGAAACTGGCAGAATGGAATGGTGTTCACGAAGTACCTTGGAAACTGAAAGTAACACGATTTCAATGACGCCAAGTCCAATGTCGAAGTCGCAGGAAGCAACGGGGATGTGATCAAGTTACCGTTGTTGCTGGAAAACGGTGCAGACGAAACTGGCGAATTCTTGTCGGTGATCTCATCATCGTCGTTCGAGAAGACGGTCCGGTATTCGCCGGATGCTTTCGGTGATGCAAACAGATTGTCGGGGAGATTGTGCTCCAAGCTGCATTTTTTACCCGATTTAGAAAGCTCGAAAACCGAAAAAACATATACCAATTGAAGTAAAATGATGGTGTTTCTTGAAATGGAATATAATTAATGATACCTTTCAGGCAAATCAACATCTTCATGATGAGGGCTTGATTTCCCATTGCTATTTTCATCTTTAAACTCCAATGATTCCTTCTCTTTCTCCAAGTTTGAAGTTGCCTCTAATGGCTCATCAACATTGATAGTTACAGGTGTAACCATTTTAGAAATCAAACCATCCTCTGCAATAAAACAATTCATTCAATCTCAAGAACAAATTATTTCTATTTTTAGAAAGGATTGATGGGTTGTTATAGTACCGGAATCGGGACTGGAACTGCTGCGGTTATCGGAAGCGAAAACCGACGAGTGGTTGAGATAACTCGGAGAGTAACAGGTGGGCGACGGAATGGCGGCACCACTAGAAAGCGCACGATGGTGGTGGTGGTGGCTCCGTTTCACGTCAAGCAGTTGCAGATCCATCAGCCGACGATTCTGGAGCTCGATAGCGTGTTGAAAGTCCGCCTGCTCCTCCAATTTTTTTCGCCACAGTAAATCTTGGCTGTTGTACAATATCCGAGCCCCTAATTCAAATACATAGATCAACATTTAATCGAAGATTCACATTGCTAAATGGCGATACAAAATTAGGTTTGTGAGGTAAGGTAAGGGGGTTACAAATGGAAACGAGCATACCGAGCTGCAGATCGAAAGGATCTCGAGAGTCGAAACCGGTGGGGCTGCCGCAAGACGAGAATTCGCCACGATCCATTTGCTGCTGCTGTTGCTTCCGGAACTTATCAGGGACTTTCCCCTTCTCTTTGTACGGTTTCACCAGAACCCGTGCGTCGCACACGAAATGCGGATTGCCTTTCGCGAGGATGAGCTTCACGGTCTCGGCGTAAACAAAAGTCACGAATCCAAACATTCTCTTTTGCTGGTATGGGATCCGAACATCTTGAACCGGCCCGTAAATGCTGTGAACAAAAACCCGGAAACAAGATTCAAGAAAGATCCTTGTTTATGCAATTTAAGATTTAATGGAGATGGTTAAATCGAACCTGAAGTAATTGGAGACATCTTCTTCCCGAAAGGTGCTATCGGCCGGAAAAGTTAAGTAGATTTGTCGTGAACCAGGGTTCAGCATACCCATGGAGAAATCGTTCCTTGACCGGCCAAATTTGTTCATCTCTTCGCCCATCATCAATGCCGCTGCGGCGGCGGCGGCCATCCTACAAATACCAAGAAATCAAATTTAGTAATGATCGAGTGTTAATTTAGATGATTGAAGTGGTGGGTTTCTGACCTGGGGCTATCTGATTGCAGAGGTTGCTGTTGAAGAAGAAAATTCATGGATTTCGGGCTGTTTGGGAAGGGGAAATTAGGAGATGAACCGGCGGCCGCCATTAGCAACCGTTGCTGGTGGGCGGATTTAGATCGGAGAAGCTCTTGGCACTGTTCTAAGGCGTCAAGTTTGCTCAAGGAACCAACAGCCATAGCAGCCATATCAGCTTCACCGCCGCCGTGGGTGAACCTGCAACTAGCTCCGTTTTTACAGTAACCTCTAGCGAAGTAAAGACAAGGTTTCCATCCATTGGGGTCTTCACCAGAAGCACCCAAACAAATATCGTTGACGGAGGAGCTCCGGCGATGTGGGCCGCCGCCGCCGCCACCCCATGGCGAAAACATGTCACCGCTGCCGTTTGGGGAGACTAAATCAGGGTAGAAAAAGTCGGTGGCTTTAGGGCCTAGAGTCGGAGAACCATCGTTGAGAAAGGAAAGCTGGTCTTGGATTTGTAATTCATCAATCAGATCAGGCTCACCACCGCCGCCGTAGAACGGCGGAGCTGAGGAATTCATGGTGGACGGAGAAGACCCGATTCCGATACTAGTCAACCCACCATTACTGATTAGATGGTGATCTTCTGTGGGTTGAAAATCCGAGAAGCTGGAGTTGGCCCAAGAAGACGACAAGCTTGGGATACTGAGAGGTGAAGGGAGGTTAGTAACTCCCCCATTAACAAGCCTTGAAGTAGTTGAAGAATTCGCAGAATTTTGGCGAGAAAGAGAGTGGGAACTGAACTGCGACGGCGACGACGGAGTGGAAGGTGTCGACGGCGCGTTGCCGGAAGAAATGCCAAGTTCTTTGCGAGCTTTAAGAATGACAGAGTGAACGAGAGATTCAGGACCAAAAGCCAACCGAATCATTTCCTTCTCGCCATGGTCTTGAATAAGGAGAAGGCCCATGATTTTGGAAGCATATTCAGGATCCAAATTCTGGATCCTTGTGAACACAACTCTTGTTGCTTCATATGAATCCATTCTTGATCGAGTAAATTTCTCAACAAAACCCACAAAAAATTTTGAAAATAAACTCACAATCCACCAAGATTTGTGAGTTCGAAATCAAGAAAGCATAGCTAAAAGCAGCTGCAGCTCAATTCGTTGCTTCCTTCTGCTGCTCCTGTAGTAAAAGCAAAAAAGAGAGTTAAAATCAGAAGAAACTCCATGGATGTTTACATATTATACCTTCAACTTCAAGGGAAAAAAAGACCTAAAAAAGAGAGCAAAATTCGGGAAACCCCATTAAAGAAAGCTTGCTGTTTTCACTTAATTCGAAAAACCCAAAGGAGAAAAAACATTTACATTAAGAAATCCCCATGAAAGAGAGCTTGCATTTTTCTTGTTAAATTAACTCAGAAAAAAGATGGGTAAAGAAAAGACTGAAAGAAAAGTTGGAGTTTTGCAGATTAAAAAAAGGAGAATACCCGTGTTGTTCAAAGTAACAACAGTGTGGGTTGAAAATTTTCTGCAAAAAGAAAGATGGAAAACAACACTGGACAAATGGAAAAAAGTTGATCAAGAAAAGAAAAGCAGCAAAAAACCATTACATAATGCTTTTTCTTCTCTCTCTCTCTCTCTATATATATATATGTATGTATATAGTTTCTCTCTCTAGAACCTTTTTTATTCCCTAGAAATTGCTTGTTGGAAGCAGAAAAAAAAAGGCAGGAATTAATCTTACCCATGAAATTGAAAAACAGCTCTAGCTACTCTTTTCTTCTTGTTGTGGATGACGATGACGATGATGAAGGATGAGAGAAGGAAAGAAATCTAAAGCTAAAGATAAAGGCAGAGTTACTGAAAGTGATCATATATAACTACTGCTTCGAAGAAAAAAGGAGAAGATGAAGATGAAATGAAACAATCCTTGTGTGTTCTGGTTGTTTTGGTTTATAAAGCGATGGAGGATTGTAGTTGCAGAAGCAGAAGCAGAACAATCAATTGCTTTGTAGTTGCTGCTGCTATCAAAGGAGGTTGATTTGCAGAATAATAATTATAAAGCACCTAAACAGTACCCTTTTTTATGTTGGTTTTAGTGGGTAACTGAGTGAGAGAGAGAGAGGGAGGGACAGAGAGATTTTAACCTCTCTTGAATCTCTCTTCAGCTGGATTGTTTGATGATATAAGTGTAGAATGCAAAGTGTTACTAATGACCCCTCAAGTTTGAGTTAATGTCAATTTGTCCTACAAGTTATGTTTTTATTAAATGCATCTTATACTAAAACATTAGTAGAGTTGGGTTCCGATGAGAAGAAGAGTTAAAGCAAAAAGTGTAAGAAAATATCTCCATTCTTAGATGCACATCAGGATGACATGCACCAAGATAAGATACAACGAGATGCACCGGATCAATCCATCTATCAAGTACGATTCGTTGGGTAGGTTTGAGATTAAGGGGCTGTTTACTCAAATGCTTACTCGGTAAGCGTTTACTGATATAAATCAACACTATCATTTATTTTGATGCGTAAGAATTTAGTACATCAAACATATCAAGTGCAACAATTTACTGGGTATGCGCTTACCTGGGTAAGAGTTGTCATCCTCACTTACCGGGTAAGAATCTTCATTCTTTCTCATCGCTCTTAAGCGGTAAGACTCTTGGCCCTTACCAAGTAAGTGGTTAGTAAATGTCCCCTAAAGGTGATTAAAGGCCTAAAACATTTCTTATGTTTTTCATCTTAATTTGTTGTCTCACATGATCCATGATCAAGAGTTTCTTTATAATTTATTTAAAATAAAAAATTAAAAGTTAGATATTTTAAAATAGGGGATTTTTTTTTTCTAGAACCTATGAAATTATGATAACCTTGAAAATTAATGCATCATGTATTATTTTATATAATTGTTTTTCATTTAATACCAAAATTTAGAATATTGATTGATATATATTTGTTTCACAAAATATTTTTTCACATGTTTTTATTTCACATGTGAACATTTTTAACTTGTTTGTGAAACAAAAGTTACACGTAAAAAAGTTTCACATTGTGAAACGCATACACATTAAACAAAGACAACCTAAAATAAAATATATGTTTATCAATACATTAATTGTTAGCATTAGATGAGAAAAAATCATGTGAAACAATACATTAAAATAAAAGTTCTTACGATTATCACGATATATAGAGTTTTCAAATAATTAAGCTCATTCTAAAATAAACTATACTCAACTTTATCAAATTATTTCTTCTGCAGATTTTGATGATGATTATATTATTAAAATATATTTTTAAAAAAAACTTTATATAAATTAATAACAATTCAATCTAACAGTAGAAAATAACAAAAATAATTATTTCTCTCTCCTCGAATAAAATGCTAAAAGCGTTTTTAAACTCGGAGCTTCTCTTACTTTCTCTATTTTAGAGAACAGATGAAGATTCTGTTGGATCAAAATAGAGAATAAAATCTTAATTCTCTTTCTTTTATAAAATATGTTGGAGATGCTCTTAAAATACCTAATATGGATTAAAAATGTCATTTTTTTTCTCCAACATTTTTCCTCCATTCCACCTTTGCTCCCTCTTTGACTACCCATTTTGATCAGAACTGTCAGGACTTTTCAAACTCAAAACTCAGAGAATTTGTAAACTCAATGACTCTAAAATTAAACAACTCTTTAAAATTGATGTGGTTGTTTACTGTTTGTGCCTCAATGTTGTGGTAGATCTTCATTTGCGGAGTTGTGGTGGTTTACCGTGTGCGAGTATGTTGCTATGGTGTTTATCTGTAGTTCACTTCTAATGTACAAATGGAAGCTAAAAGGGTCGTTATACAGGGAAGAACAACAAATGCTAGGCTGATATAAACAACTACCTTTATATATGACGCATTTAGATTGTTTACGATTGTTAAATAGCAAGCAGGAGTCAATGATCCAGTTCTTTTATGTGTTTGCTTCCTTTTTTAATCAGAGTCGAAAACTTTCTCGACAATAGTAATTTGTCGTGTTCAACTCAAATATATTAATGTTCAAGAACATAAACTATTCCTACTTAATCGTATTGATTTCTTTAACGGTCAGTTTAGCATAAATACAATAAGTAATATGCTCATACTGTTCAAACTTCCTTGACGTAACAAATGAGGAACGGTTTATAAGTTAACTCTCGTATATCTAAATATCGAATAAAGCAAAAGGTATTTTTGTATATATCGGGAAAAGAAAAAGTTTTTTCAAGTTCGTGGTTAAAAATAATGAAAAAACAAGGGGGCAAAGTGAAAAGTAGTTCATAGATGAAGGGGGAGTACGTAAAATGATGGGATCTAGATCTGCTACAGGTACTACACGTTCACTCTTTCCCAAAGCTTTTTATAAAAATAAAAAGTAAAAATAAAAAAAATACAATTTTCACTTAACAATTAATTTAATTAAAAATACAAGTTAACTATAAATATTGGTTTAATTCTATACTTGTTAATGGTCTACAGACGTCACATAAATACTCATGAATTAGAACCCATATTAGTGATGTATTACAATGATTGCTATCAAATATATATATATATATATATATATATATATATATATATATATATATATATATATATAGAAGAGTTAAATACAAATTTGGTCCTATGGTTTATACAAATTAACGAGTAAGGTCCTTGAATTTTTTTTAACCCTATAGTTTCATTGTTATAATTAATATGGTTTTTTCTTTAACTCATTCAGTTAAGTTCCCGTGTTAGTAAGAGTGCATTTTTGTTTATTCACCTTCCTCTTTCCTTAACTTCAGTTTTCATTAACAAATTTGGTCCCTCATACTACTTTTACTTTTGTAACATATTTGGTCTCTCAAACTAATTTACATTAGTATAATAGATTTGGTCTCTCAAATAATTTTTTATTTTTATAACAGATTTGGTCTCTCAAATAATTTTTAGAACTTGATCCCTCCATTTAATCAATAAGATATGGTGGCACAAATATATATTTCTTATATATAATTAGCAAAAATGAATAAATAAAATTTGAAGCTTAGATTTTTTTTCATAAACATTATTTTCATGAAATTTTTTAGTTTAAATAAAACATAATTTTGATACTTGTTTTTTTAATTAGTTGAAAATTAAAAAAAGTTTTAAAACTA